TTCTTAAATTTTTATGAATCAACATATATCAAGGCAACTTGAGGAAACATTTTTGTCTCTGGTAATGCTCTGGTTCTAACACAGTTTGTTGAGTTCTCAAGGATATTTTGAGATCTGTATTTGTAATACAGATGTTTCATCTATTAGTTTAGGAAAGACAGTGAGCTTCTGCTGTATACATTTCTCTGATTCTTGCTAGGTATTTGGTAGATGCTAAATTTTTGCCACCTTTGGTCATGTGTGCCATTTTCTTGCATAAACTTCATTGATTAATAAGTCTGGGCTTCCTAAAGATATCACTTCTGTAATTTCAGGTTGTGATGATCTAACCCAAAATTCCTATCACAAACCCTTCCATTTCCATAAAATAAATCCGTGTGACTCAGCCATTTATTCAACACCTATTGACAGATTGTTGATTGAGTTCATGGGGATGTCTTCCATGAAAGACCTTTTGACGTCACTCAGGGATTGGAGCCTCTTTATAGGCTCCATCCGTTAACAGGTAAACCATTTTTGGTTACATTCAACAAATGCGTTGATGTGTACCATTGTTAGACTTTATCACTGCTCAGTGAAATGATGTGTGTCTATTCCAAAAGTATTTCTGTAAATTTCACATGTTTATCATGTGTTCTGAAAACACCTATCAATCCTCTTTCTCCTTTTTGATGAAGAAATGCCAGTCTTTCAGTAACTGTTTTAGGGTGATGGATCCTGTTTCATTAATTTTGGATGGATTTTTATTAGGTCATTTTACATATCTCTCACTGTTCATTTTACGGTTCCAAAAACATACTTTAAGAGTGGTATTATGCATTGTTGGTGGAGTTGTGAATTGATCCAGCCATTCTGAAGAGCAATTTGGAACTATGCCCAAAGGGCTGTGTATACCCTTCCATCCAGCAATACCACTTCTAGGCCTGTATCCCAAAGAGATCATAAAAAAGGGAAAAGGGCTCACATGTACAAAAATATTTATAGCAGCTCTTTCTGTGGTGGCAAAGAATTGGAAATTGTGGGGATGCCCATCATTGGGGAATGGTTGAACAAGTTATGGTATATAAATGTAATAGAATACTATTGTGCTACAAGAAAGGATGAGCAGGCAGACTTCAGAAAAACCTGGAAAGACTTACATGAACTGATGCTGAGTGAAGTGAACAGAACCAGGAGAATGTTGTACACAGTAACAGCCATGTTGTACAATGACTAACTTTGATAGACTTAGCCCTGCTCAGTAATGCAAGGATCTAAGACATCTCCAAAGGTCTCATGATGAAAAATGCTATCCACATCCAGAGAGAGAACTATGGAGTTTGAATGCAGATCAAAGCATACTATTTTCTCTTTTGTTGTTGTTGTTGTTGTTTTTTCTTTCTCATGGTTTTTCCCTTTTGTTCTGATTCCTCTTTTACGACATGAATAATGTGGAAATATGTTTAACATGATTGAACACGTATGACATTATCAGATTGTTTGCTGTCTTGGGGACGGAGGAGGGAAGGAGGGAGGAAGAAAAAATTGGAACTCAAAATCTTACAACAATGAATATTGAAAACTATCTTTACATGTAATTGAAAAAAATAAAATACTATGAAGTGCAAAAAATACAAAAAGTAAAAATGAGAAAAACAAGTGGTATTATGTAGATGTTCACTGCTTTAAATATGTTCTTCCCATTGAGCTTTCAATCAATCAACAAACATTTATTAAGCAACATATTTGTGCCAGACACTGTGATAAATGCTGAGGATGCAAAAGGAGGAGGCAAAAGACAGTCTCTGCCCTCAAGGAGCTTACAATCTAATGCTTGTGATTTCAGGATGCCAGTAAGCATATTGACATATTCACAGCCACAGTTTAGTCCATTATATCTGGCATTATGCTCAGGTTGTCTTCTTTGGAGGAGAGTAAGGCATTTTTAAGTATCACCTCAGTCTATTGGTTTGTTTTGACTTTCAGATTCAAGCTCAACATCTTCATTCTCTACTTTTCCTCGGAGAACATTACAAAATTTATACTTATTGAATCCAAATGATATTTTGATGTCATTTCAGAAAGATTCCACAAGATGAAGGAACTTTTTAATGTGTTTTTAAGTAGAGCCATAGAGTTTAATGACATCCAAGTATATCAAGTGATTAATAAAATGTTTAAATATCACTCTTTCTTTGACTTGGAAGCCATACTCAGTTCTATTTAAAAGAGTAGATAATGAGCTTAAGGCTAGGCAGAATTGTAATAGGCTTAAACTGTCTTCTTGAAAGATGACACATGTTATATCCATTGTTCTCGACATTATTGTGTTGGTGGCATATTTTAAGTAGAGCATGGTTTTCCACATGGACGTCAAATGCTTTAACATTCTCACTATACTTGGGTCTACCTTAATATCTGTAAGTATGAAAAGCTATGAGTGTGGAATTCAGCCAAAGGCTTACTGTTATCATCTTTTTCTGATAGGGTCCAGTTAGAAACAGTCGGAGGATGTCATTATCTTGCCATCATTCTTTTATATTCAATGCTTTTGGATAATTAATATTATTATTACTATTACTGATTAAGCAAAGGCACACAAATATCCCAGTCTAAGCAAAGCTCTTTCTTTTTTTTTAGGAACAAGGAATAAAAACAATAACAGCTAACACTTATATATTGTTTTCAAATTTGTAAAGTACTTCACATGTACTACCTTTTTGATCCTTAAAAACTTTTGAAGCAGTTGCTGTTATTATCCTTACTTTACAGATAAGGAAACACAGGAGCCTGAAACAAACACTTTTTTAAGTTTGCATTATGTGCCAGGCACTGTGTTAAGTAGTAAGGATACAAAAAAAAAGGTAAAAGAAGTTGTTGTCTTCAAGGAGCTCACAATCAATATAATATAATATAATACAATATAATAACTGTATTGTATATATAAACAAAATATATCCAGGATAAAATGGAGATAATCAACAGAGGTAAGGCACTAGAATTAAGGCTGGGGGAGGATCAGGAAAGGCTTCCTCTAAAAGGTAGGATTTTATCTGGAACTTAAAGGAATCCAGGGAAACAAGGGGGTGGAGATAAGGAGGGAGAGTGTTTCAGGCAAGGGGGATAGCCTGTGAAAATACCTGGAGTGGGAAAATGGGAGTTTTGTGTGAGGAACAGCAAGAAAGTCATTATCACTAGATCTCAGAGTAGGAATTGGGGAGGAAACTGTAAGGGGAAAGTTTGGGGTTAGTTTATAAAGGGCTTTGAATGCCAAAGAGAGAATCTTATATTTGATCCTGAAGGTGAAAGTTAGGGGTTAATTTATGAAGGGTTTTGAATGCCAGAGAGAGGATTTTATATTTGATCCTGAAGATGATAGGGAGCCATTGAAGTTTATTTGTATAGATGAGTGACATGTTCAGACTTGTTAAAGCTGAGTGAAGAATGGACTGGAGTGGGGAGAAATTTGAGGTGGGCAGACCCCTCCCTCCCCGCCCCCCCCACTCTCACAGCCGACCATTGAAATAGTTCAAGTGTGAGGTGAGGTGATAACGGCTTGCAGTCACCAAGGTGGTAGCAATCAGCTTGCTCAGGTTCACAAAGTAAGCAATAAGGCATAGGTTGTGGGATGTTTTACCCCACAGAGTCAGCTCTCTGGGTCCAAATTTGGGTAAATAATACCACCATTATGCCTTTTCTTTCTCCTTCATGCATCAATGGAAAGACCACTGAACTTGAATCTGCCTGCCACTTGTTACTTGTGTAACCTTGAGGAAATCACTTAACCTCTCTGATCCTCAGTTTCCTCACCTGTAAAATGAGAGGGATTGTCTAGATCAAAGGTTCTTAATCTGGTGCTGAATTTATTTCAATATTCTGGTAACTGCATTTTGGTTTTTAAAAAATTGGCGTCTTTTGTATCCCTCTATCTTATTTTGTGCATATAAAAAAATTCTTGAGAAAAAGGGTCCTCAGGCTTCACCAGACTGCCAAAGAGGGTCACCACACACAAAAAGTCAAGGATCCCTGGTCTATCATGATGAAAAATGCTATCCACCTATAGAGAGAGAACTGATGAATTCTGAGTGCAGAGTGAGGCTTTTTGTTTTTTCATTTTTTCTTGCATTTTTTTAACATAACTAACATTGAAATATGTTTTGCATTATTTCACTTGTATAACAAGTATCATATCTATTGCTTTCAATGGGTAGGGGAGGGAAGGAGGGAGAGAATGTAGAAGTCAAAAGTTTTAAATGTTAAAAGAAATTTTTAAAAAAATAACATTTTTAAAAAGAATCCCTGGTCTACATGATATCTGGACCTATGGATTATGTTGCTGTAAACTTTTCCCCCAGCACTGGTCCTGGAGTCAGAAAGTCGCTGTTCAGTGTGTCCCATTCTTTGTGACCCTATTTGGGGTTTTCTTGCAAAGATACTGGAATAGTTCGCCATTTCCTTCTCCAGCTCATTTTACAGATGAGGAAACTGAGGCAAACAGGGTGAAGTGACTTGCCCAGAGTCACATAGCTAGTAAGTGTCTGAGGCCAGATTTGAATTTCCTAACTCCAGGCCAGGCATTCCATCTAGTGCGCCATCTATCTGCTCGGGAAGACCTGAGTTCAAATCCAGCCCCAGCCACTTACTAGCTGTGTGACCCTGGGCAAGTCACTTAAGCCTCAGTTTCCTCATAAAATGTGAATATCAGTTTCCTCAACTGTAAAATATGAGTAACAATAGCAACTTCCTCACGAGTGAAGATCAAAAAAGGCGTGTGGGGAGAAACCACTTAGTACCCAGGTAGGCGCTTAATAAAGGCTTGCTTTTTTTTTTTTTTCCATTTCAACAGAAGGCTCACGTTCTTCTAATTAGAATTAGAAACTCCTAAACCTCTGAGCTTTCTTAACTCCGCCCCATAGGGACAGAACAGCCTCATTACCTGCTTTCCCTTCCCATCATGGAGTCCTAGCCACGCCCCCTACAGCCTTGACCTGCCTCCCGTGAGCCTCTGCTCTTCCCTCTTTCCCAGTAGCCCCCGCGCAGCGTCCTAGACCTGTCGGACTCCAAGGTGGCAAGATGTCTTCCCAGCGTGAGTGTCGAGCCCGGGGGTCGGGAGGAGGCGCCCGGCCGGGGCAGCCGAGGCCTGAGGCGGGGGATGGCGGGAGGCCCCGGCTCGGCCGGCGGAGGGGTGGGGAAGGTCGTGGAGGGCACGCGAGGGGAGGAGGGCCCGACGGCCGCCGCTGCCCTCTGCTCAAGGACTCGACCGAGGCATGCAGGGGCCCGGCCCGGAGCCTGGGCCTCGCCGCGGAGCCGCCGGGGGCCCCGGACGAGACGGGATGAGCGGGCCCGGAGGCGTCCGGGAGCCCAGCTCTGTTTGAGGCGACGCCGGGGGAGGGGCGGGAGAAGGAGGGAGGGAGGCCGGGCCGGCTGGGCCTGGCGCCACCGGGCGCTGCCCGTCTGAGCACCCCGCGAAGGGTGTCAGTGCCACCGCCCGCTGACCGGCCGCAGAGTGCCCAGGCCGCGGTGAAAGGCCCAAGGTCACGTCCCGCAGAGAGACCAAACGCTCCCCTCCAGACCCTGGACATTACCATGCCCGGAAATGGGCTCCCTCTTTACCGTCACCTCCTGGACACCCCGGCTTCAAATCTCAGCCAGAAGCTCATCTTGTAGAGAAGCCTCCCCCATCCCCCTTAATGCGCAGTGCCTCCCCCCTGCTGATCGTCCCCAGTCTATCCTCTGTATACCATGTTTGCACATAATCCTTTTCGTACTGTATCCCCTGTTAGACCGTGAGCTCCTTGACAGCAGGGATTCTTTTGCTTTTCTTTGTTTGCTCAGCCCTTAGCATATAGAAAACATTTAATAAATGTTCGATGATTGACCGAGCAAGTGATTTGAAGGAGGCAGCAGAGGATTTGGGGGTCTTGACACTCGACTACTTACGTGACCTTGCATTTGTTTGTTAAGGGTCTGTTATGTTCCAGGCGCTGTGCTAAATTCTGGAGAAAACAAAGAAAGATTAAAAAAGGAAAAAAAATCTCCTGTCCTCAGTTTATGATCTATCCAGTCACTGTGCTAAATTCTGAAGAATACAAAGAAAGATTTTTTTTTAAAAACCTCTCCTGTCCTCAGTTCATAATCTAATGGGGAAGAAAACATCCAATAACAATGAGCATACAAAATATATACAGTGTAAGGGAGGTGGTATTGTTAAGTCATGTCCTAAAACTCTTCCTGTCCCCATTTGGGATTTTCTTGGCAAAGATACTGGAGTGGTTTGCCATTTCTTTCTCCAGCTCATTTTACAGATGAGGAAACTGAGGCAAACAGGGTGAAATGACTTGCCCAGAGTCACACAGCTAGTAAGTATTTGAGACCTGATTTTAGAGTCTTTCTGACTCCAGACCAGATGCTCTATTCACTGAGACACCTCCCCGTTCCGTAAGGAAGGTAATTTCAAAAGGAAGGGATTGGAAAAGGCTTCTTGGAAGGTGGGATTATAGTTGGGACTTGAAGGCAGGAAGCCAAAAGGTGGGGGAAGAGAATTCTTTGCATGGGGTGACAGCCAGTAAAAATGCAGAGGATGAGCAAGGAGGCTGGTGTCACTGCATCTTAGAGGGGAGTGAGATGTGAGGAAATTGGAGAGGAAGGAAGGGGCCAGATTGTGAAGGATTATATTCGATCCTGTAGCTAATGGGAAAGTCACTGGAGTTCATTGAATAGGGGAGCCACAAACTTAAATTATCCAGGCCCCAATTTTATCACATGTAAAATGAGGGAGATTGAACTCGATCTGTAAAGTTCCTTCCAGTTCTAAATCTACTATCGTGGGTGCTATGAGCTGGTGAAGTGTAGGGAAGTTTGGAAGGAGTGGCACTGGGATGATGCTCTTTAAGCATTTGAAAGGCTATCATGTGGCAAGGAATAAACTTGTTCTTTTTGGCTTCATAGGACAGAACTAGCAAACAGACAAATTTGAGCTCGAAAGAATAACTAGCTATTCAGCTCCATATTCAACTAGCTATTTATTCTCTCCATGGAGAAGCTATGGCTAGATGACCATTTGTCTAGTATATTGTAGAGAGGTTTTTGCTTTAGTTTGGACTAAGTTTCCTTCAACTCTTGAGAATCTGTGATTCTGCATTTTGAAACTCTTCATTAGAAAATTCTTTCCAGAACATTTTTATTAGAGACCCCGTAAAAGCATTACATGGGCACACAAGAGAATTCTGATTCTGCTACTCTCCATGTGATTTTGGGCAACTAACTCTCCTCTGTAGGCCTCACTTTTCCCATCTGCAAAATGAGATTGGACTAGTTGATCTCTAAGTTCCATCTCCAATATTCTATGAGACAAGAGAATAAAGGATCATAGATCTTAAGGTGGAAGGGACCTCAAAGGTCATTTGCCAGTTATATTAGTTAAAAAAAAAAAAGTAAGCTCCTTGAAGGTTTTATTTTTGTATTTGTATCCCAAGCACAGTGACTGTGACTGTCACTTGGTAGGCACTTAGTACTGGCTTGTTGAACTTAATCAAATTGAGCATAGTGAACAGAAATGTCCTAATTAATAAGACATACATACTTTATATGATTGGAAAACAACTTTTTCTAAACTTTCTGTGGTCCTAAAGGAAAAAGGGGCAGCAGATGGTTGTAGTCATCCATGCTGAGGGGCTAATTCCCTGTCCATCCTCAACCCGGAATAATGGCAGGTTGACTCTAATTAGAATAAGTACTGTGTATTAATATTGCAATCATTCCATCAATAAGTATTATTAAGTGCATAACTATGTGATAGGCACAGAATTAAGCATTGGGGATAAGACCTTAAGTAGCTTATATTCTAACGCGAGAACAGCAAATCCTTATATGGGTATGTGCAAGGTAACGATAGAGGGGAAGGCCTGCTGCACAAGGTGTTCTGGAGCTGAGCCCCAGTTCTTGGAGACAGACTGTAGGAAGGGACAGAAAGGAAATGAAACTTCATCTGTGAAGAACAGCAAGTAGACCAGTGTGGCTGGACTATAGAGGATGTGAGAGGAGTAATATGTTAAAAGACTAGAAAGCTAGGAAGAGTCCAGGCTGTAAAGAACTTTAAATGCCAAATAGAGACTTTATATTTGATACTAGAAGTAATAGGGATACATTGGAGTTTATTGGGGGTGGGGAGTGACATAGACCTACACTTTAAGAAAATTGCATTGTCAGATGCGTGAAGATATTTGAGGCAGCAAGAACAATTAATAAGCCATTGTAGTAGTCCAGGCATGAGATGATGGGGGTCTATCCAGATTGGTGGACATGTGAGAGATGTTGTGAAGGTAGAAGTAACAAGATTTATCCACAGATTGGATATGTGGGGTGAGTGAGGGGGAGAAGTTGTGGATGACACTGAGATTGGGGGCCTGGGTTCCTTGAAAGGATGGTAGTGCCCTTAACAAGTAATAGGGAAGTTCAGATGAGGAGTAGGTTGAGAAGGAAAAATAATGAGTTTTGTTTTGGACAGGTTGAGTTTGGGATTTCAGTTCAGAATGTCCAATAGGCTACTCGTGATGGGGGCCTAGATCTTAACAGATAATTTGGATAATATAAAATGAAGGTTTTGCAAGAACAGAGTTAACATAACTAGGATAAGAAGGGGATCAATTGATTGGGAAAAAAAGCTTTGCATCAAATATCTGAAAATGCTGTTATTCAGAATTTGGCAACAAATTTGATATCTGGGGTGAATACAAATGAAGAATGAAGTTATAAGCCTTGGTCACTGGGAGAATAGTAATTTCATTGACAATAATAGTGAAATTAAGAAAAAAAGGCAGAAATGGGGGGGGGGTCGAGAATGAGTTCTATTTGATATATCTAAGAGACATCCATTTCCAGATGTCCAGTAGGCAGTTGGTGATGTTGTGAGACTGAAGATCATAAGAGGGTTTGACCTGGATCTGTAGATCTGGGAATCCTAATTGAATTCGTGAGGGAGTATAGACAGAAAAGAGAAGAGGGCACAGGACACAGAGCCTGGACATGACATGGATGAAGGTCCAGCAGAGGATACTAAGCAGACAACTAGGAGAACTAAGAGAAAGCAATGTTAGGAAGACTCATGGAGTAGAGAATAACCAAGAGGAAAAGGGTGAATGATAGTTTCAGATGCTGCAGAAAAAATCAAGAAGGTAGAGGACTTGGCAATTAAGATTTGGCAATTAAGAAATCATTGATAACTTTGGAGAGAGCAGTTTGAATGAAGAGATCAGAAGCCAGACTACAGAGGATTTAGAAGAGGAGAGACAAGCTTCAGCTAAGTAACATTTCTTTTTGGGACTGGATTTTGTGGTGGCATTTGAGCTTTGAGCAGCTCTGCTGCTCTGTCAGGTGATTTCTTTCCCTATGAACAAATCTGTTCCTATTTCTTTGCATTAGATTCAGGAAACATTAGAATTTATTACCTTTGGGTTATAGGATTACATATATGTGGAAAGTGAACTCCTCTTCCTTAACTGTTTCACTGTCTACTTTGTTCTCATACTGTCCTCCCTTTTATTCATACTTAGTGTGTATGTCTTCGCTTTCCCTTCCATTAAACTGTAAGCTTCATAAGGTTAAGGTTCCCATCTTTTTGTTTCCAGTACCTGTGCAGTGTAAGAAAACCTAGAGAGCAGGGTTTATCTTGGAGGCGAAGAAAATCATTAGCATGTGATGTTACAGATGAAGACTGAGAAAAAACCAAAAATTTTTCTCTTAAAAATTTTTTAAATAGTTTTTTTCAATTTAAAAGAAAAATTAAGAAATCTAGTAATTATGGAGAGCGCAGTTTCAGTTGAATGATGAGATCAGAAGTCAGAGCTTAGAGGTTTAGAATCAAGTGAGAGGAGAGAAAGTGGACCATGGCACCGAATATAGCTGACTTTCTCAAGGATTTTAACCATGAAGGAAAGGAGAGATACAGATGATAGGTAGTGGGGGGGATCAAGTCTGGGTTTTTTAAGAATGAGAGAGACCTGGGTGTGTGTGTTTCCCAGTATATAGGGAGAGAGATTAAAGATTCGTGAGAATGGAGATGATAGAGGGAAATCTACAGGAGAAGACTGGATAGGATGAGATCAAGAGTGCCCATAATGGTGTTGGCCTTGGCAAGGAGGACCACCTCTTTATGTGACCGAGTTGGGGAAAACATCCTCAGTGATAGTGAGTTGAAGAGGAGGAAAGAGCATTCTGTGAATGGCCTCAATTTTTTTTTTGGTGAAATATATGGCAACTGAGAGGGTGTTGGGAGAGGCTTGTGGAGGACTGAAAAGTTTGGAATAGCTGTTGTGTTAAATAGGATGACCACTTGATTGGGGTATAAAAGTATTGCCTTGCTGTAGTGAGTGTCCAATCAAAATTATGTAAATTTGTAGAGGATCCAGTCAGGACCGTTTGCTGATTTTCTCTAGCTCTCTTCAGCAGCTTGTGACTAGGAACAAAGGCAGCAAACATTACACGTTACAGTCCTGAAGGTTACTGTGGGATTGAAGGAATCCTCAACTCTGAACAATATTTCCATTCTTATAACTTGAGGTTCAAGTTTCAGCACCAAAAGTAAACCATAATAATGGAGAAAAATACAAAAGTAGCAACCAAACTGAAAGGCATAATTTATGGAATTTTTAGGTAATTTTCAAAGACTAATCGAATCCCCCAAAATTAATCATAATTTATCAAAGTTTTGTTGGGCAGCATGGCATAGTAGAAAAACCCTGGTTTTGTTGCCTACTCTCTGTAGACAAGTGAGTTTGAGTAAGTAATTTCACCTCTTTGAGCCTTAGCTTCATCATCTGAAAAAATGAAAGGATTGGACTGGATGTCTCCAAGGTGCCTTCCAGTTCTAAGTCCAAAGTTCCAGTATTTTAATTGGCTTACCTCTCAGTATATAAACTTATTGATGTAGATTAGAATTAAAAGTAGCAAAGTATAATAGCTAAAGGTTTGCAAATCCTTTAAATACGTTCTCACTTAAGCCTCACAGTATCCCTTTGGTGTAGATACTACTGATGTTAGCTGCAATTTATAGATAAGCAAACTGAGACTTAGAAAAAAGTTACATTTTGTTTTATATACTCTATTGGGGGACTGTATAATGTTCCCACGGTTAATTTTTTTCCAAGCAGTAATTATGTTGCTTGAAGAGTTAAACCTTAGCTTTTCTTAAGGGATCTATATAGCCGAGATTTTTAGTTGAAACATTTGGGGGTATTTTTTTTTTCTTTCTTTCTTTTGGGTAAGATCAATCAACTTTACTGAAATATCTGTCTTTCCTGTCACTTCTCCTTTTCTTTCAACCCAAGTTTTTGACTTTACAAATAGTACTTCAACTAATTAATCCTCCGTGAACAACTTAAAAAAAAAACTGAAAAGCTTCATAAATCAATGAAAGCTCAGAATCACTTAGCAAAAAATGCTCCTCTTAACTTATCTTCTCCCAATTAAAGAAAAATACTGAAAATGAGTCAAAATGTGAAGTTTTACCATTTCTCTAATACCAAACCCCATTTCAAATTTACATCTGCTTCTTTTCAAATCAGGGGTCACTGGGTTAGCTAATTAGCCTGAAATTTGATTTAGTTTGTTAGTGTGTTACCCTGGTTAGTTTTACTCTATTAGCTTTGGCAGTGTATCCAGGAGCCCACAGGTTCCCCACTCCTGGATAGACACATAACTTCTTAATGGAACTTTCCATTTAATTGTTTAATAAAAGGTGCAGTTTTTCTTTTAAGTACTTGATTTAAGTGACAAAATGCTAGAGGACCTTGTAATGCTAGAAATGTTTGTTAAACAAGTTTGAGTTTTTTTAAGAAAATATTTTTTTCTTTTTGTCAGCACCACTTTCGGTACCACTTAGAGAACAGAAACTCCTAGATGTCAAACTGCATCAGCTACCAGCCTGGATTATGAAGCGGGATTTTTCCCCTAGTGGGATTGTCAAAGCTTTTCGTAGAGGTTTGTATTTTAAGAACATCTTTAAATACATATACCTGAGTATAGTAGACAATTTATATGGGGGGAGGGAGAGACACTATAGATTGGTTACATATATATGGATCTAAGTAATTAAGAATTTATTTGCCCAGGTAGGCAAGTTAATTATTTGGATAGTTCATTTCTTTTTTTGACTCAGTTTAACTATTATTAATTTCCTATGAAATTCTAAAGGAATTTTTCCTTTTGTTTTTAACAAATTTAAGCTTCAAGCCTTGCTTTTTCCCCTAAAGAAGTATTTCTCATTAATATATACCTTTTTAAAAAATCAAGGCATAGAAAATAAAATGTATAGTTATGAACTTTGTGATTAGATAAAACTTGTAACTAAGACTATAGAAATGTATTTAAAATATATTACCATGCCCCAGTATACATTACTGAAATCCATTGTGATTTCTGAGGTTCCCTATTTAGAACATCTAAACTCAGAGAATGTTCTGGTAGTCCAGCATTCTCATTTTACAGGTAAGGAAACTGAGGCCCACAGACAGTCACTGACTTGCCCAGGGTCACACACAGGTGGTAGATAGCAGAGCCAAGATCCAAATCCAGATTCTCCCACTCCACGTGCAGTGCTCTCTCCACCATCATTGTTCTGTGGCCTTGGACAAGTGACTGTCCAGCTCTGGATCTGTTTTTCCCATCCGTAAAATTAGAATTAGGTCTCTTCTAACTTTAAATCCAGTGATTCTAAGAGGCAGGAGGATGCAGATCCAAGCCTTCTGACTTCAAGCCTGGCACTGTATCAGCAACATCCCAATGGTCTTGTTGGACTGTTATGAAGTATATTTCAAAACTTCAGCCTTGCTAGGAAATGGCTTACGTTCCTTGCTTAAGTTTAGAAAATATCACATAAGGAGCACGAGGTAATTATGTCACATAAAGCCCTATTAAAATGTCAGCTGTTGTTATTTACTATTTTATGATGTATCTGTTTTCTCCTCTATACTAATAATGATACCATTCAAGAGTGACTGACCTGAAGCTTATCCCTAATCTCCAAATGCTGTTGTCATTAGTGTTTAATATGGAGTGAATGAGACTTTTAATTGTAGGAGTGTTTGTCCTATGATAAACACCGATTTTTGTCCTCAGGTTATGATGCGTATTTTAATAAGTACATTGATGTGAAGAAAGGCGGGATTGGTGGTGTCTCTATGGTCCTCGCTGCTTACATCCTGCTTAATTATTGTGCAGCTTACAAGGAGCTTAGTGAGTATACTTTCTGAGGGTCTTTTAATATTGACAGGTGATCTTTGCTAGGTGCCATATTTGTCTTAAACTGAATTTACCATCTGGACAGCTTGCCATTTTGCATCCAACTCTACTTTGATCCTGTATCCTTTAAAAGCTAATGCTTTTCAAGCTGGTGCCTGCAAACTGGACCAGATTGGACATCAGTTTATTTTTCCATCTTGTATCTGTGACTTGGTTGAAAATATTTGGCAACTAAAACCTTGAATGTTCCAATCACTGAAAACGCTTCCCCCAGAAAAGTATTGTTTTAAATTAACCTAAATAGAAAAGGTAATTTTTTTTTATGTTTAATTCCAGAACATGAACGGAGACGAAAATACCACTGAAAATTTCAGATGATGAATTTTATCCCTCAACTTAGATAATTGTGCAGTTGTAACTTTTCTTGGTGAACATCACTTGATGGGGCCAAATACTCAACATTAAAGGATGTATTTAAACCTGCATAGTGTTTGACTTTAAATATGTGGCGATCTATGTTCATTGGTGTTTTTGCTACCAAAAAAAAGATGAGACTAAGCAGGGAGAGCCCTGGGCTTGGAATAAGTGGAGTTGCTACCTGTTCCATCTGTTAGGGTAAAATAATGTTTTGAAGCATCTAAAAACAAAAAAGTACCATATCAGTTATGAAGTTGGAACAAAAAAAACAGCAACCAGAAGGGTACCGTATTGCCATGTTCATGAAAACCACAATTTGTGGTAGACTCGTCACAATACAGGGGAAAAAAATGTTTGAGTTGTGACAGCTGCCAAAATGATTTTCCTGAAGTGCACTTTGATCATGTTCTTGCCCTACTCTGTAAACTCCGATGGTTCCCTATAGCTTCTAGGAGCTAAAAAGCTACAAACAAGCCTTTCTTGGCTCCAGCCTACCTTTTCAACCTTATTACATATTTCTCCCTTTCTATACCATACACTCAAACCCAGCAAAACTGGCCTTGTTTCTTGTTGCACATACATAGCACTCCATCGCCTGTCTCCACCTTTGCACTAGCATTCCTAGAACTTCTCACCTTCCACCTCTTAGAATCCCTTGTTTATTTTAAAACCCTAAGGGAAATCTTTTAGAACCTGCCACAGCTACTAGTACCTTCATCCCCAAAATTTACCTTGTATTTATTTTCACATATGGTTATTTATGTATGCCTCTCCCCTGCTGGGACTGTTTCATTTTGGTCTTTGGATTCCCAGCCACTAGCAGGGGCCCAATGCTTGCTGATTGATTGGGTTATTTTAGCTGCTTTCAGAAGCAAAGAAATTGAATGTATATATCCAGTGGTGGGGAACCTGCAGCCTCAAGACCACAAGACTGCAGTTCCCCACCACTAGATATCTTCAAATTCCTAGGATTCCAATTTTTTCTAGGATACTCAAAACTGTCTGACCCATTGATTACTGGTAAAAGCAAGTCAGTGGATTCAGTGGTTGGTACAGACCCAAGGTGTATTAGTTTGATAGCATCTTTAAAGTGTTGTTATAAGAAAACAATATACCATAAAACTATTATAAATTGGTTAAGTACAGATCTGAAAGAGTAAGTTTTGAGTAAAGCAGCATCAGCAAATAAAGATGAAGGAAAATGCAGAAAGAAGGAATAGTTTTATCTGCAGGTTGTTTTGGGGGGAAAGTAGCTAAAATGAAGTAGATAGCTTTCTAAATAGATCAAAATACCTTAAATATCTTACATGTTGACACGTGTATATTATACTTACTATACACCTTTGAACCCATAAGAGACTCCAGAATACTGTGATGCTGTTTCTCAGTAAGAAAAATCTGTAAGAGATTTGTCTGCCGCACTTACAATAGCTACCGTAAAAGACCATATCTTATGAAGCAGTAATTTTTTAAAAAGGCTTTAATCAAAATCATAAAAATTGTTGCAATTAAACTTTCATAGGCCTGTTTTCCCTGAAAATTGCATTTGACAGTTTCACAGAGTTTCAACAGCATATTCAGTTACATGGTGGTAACATACGTATAGGGGAGATACAACATTTTCTTGCCAACTGGGTCATCAATTAAAACAGATAACCTGTGGCTCTGACTTAAGTCTTCTGTGAAGTTGTACTCAGTGTTGTCAAATTCAACTGACACCCCAAGCAGAAATATACCTCAATCTAAATGAGCACTTCTGACTCAGGCTTTGTATCCTTCCTTTGAACTACTGTTTACTTCTGGCTGCTTGGACCAGCATGAGGCAAAAATCAAGTTTCCTATAAAGAGCTGACTACTGTTATCATAGGCATTTCTTCTGAATTCAGTAGAAAGCCAGGTTTTGAGTGACATAAGAGACCCTACCTTCTTACTCAGGTCACTCAGGTCACTTACTCAGGTCAGAGACCACAGAAGGCCACTTGTCTTTCAAATACATCACTAACAACCAAGCCTTTAACAAATGGGCTTGTTGGGTTCAATGACAGGCATGTGACACCAGCTGAGGGCATCACCCTCAGAGGCACCAAATAACATATTTCTTTTTAAAAAGAAAACAAAATGATAGGGAAACTAGCAACCCCTAACCCTCAAAAAAATGTTAAAAAAAGAAAAAACCCTTCAGCCAGCCTCTAACCCTAGTTTTGTCAACATTGGCATTAAACAATTAAGTCACAGATCCAAAGGACGGTGGTAGGATGATTCTCCCCAGCACAATAGTTATGGGGTAGAAAAATGGCTCCTCAGGCGACTGCTCTTTGAACTGTCTTTGGCGAACACACATCATTGTCCACTGAGAAAAGCCAAATGTCCTTTGGTGCATCTGTTGGCATAATGTCCTTTTTCGCCACACTGGAAACAGTGGGAAGAAAGAATATTTTCAAATTCTGACACATCCATGAATATCAAACAGGATCATTTAAATATTTTTGGACTTTTTCAATAGGAAAGGAAGTTTTAGAAATGATAGAATGGTGGAGGGAAAGTCCCAAACATCAACGGAAAATATTTGAGGAGACCAAGTATTGTAGGAGACAAAACCAAGAACCTGTGGTATCTGTTCCTACCTCTCTGCAGGATGGGCCAATTACTTACCTGAGGCCCAGGAGACCAAATCAAAAAGTTCTTGGCTGGATAAGATGGGCAAGAGACTAGAAAATGTGAGGAGCCACCAGGGACTGAAAAAAAAAGACTTGACACATGGTGAGCTGATGGTGACCCAAGAACAAGGCCCTTTCTTCATAAATTGGGCAAGTTCGCTTTCCTCTTAACTCTTCTGATTACCTGAAGGAAAGCCATGACAGTGGCCATTCTCTATGAGGCAGAGGGGGAAGAGTTGTCTCCCTTCCTCCAAACTTTTTTACCTTCCAGAAGAAACTCGGTTTTTGTTTGACACTGGCTGAACACCAAGTAACTACAACGTTATACTGCTTAAAATCCCTGACTTGGGTCCCTTCTGGCAATCAATGACTTTTCACTGTGAAAGGGATGAAAAACAGATGGCAGTGGAGTTAGGAGATGAGCCTCGCAAATTTGATATTCACAGGCTCTCATTTGTGGATTATCGAGGGCCTCGTTTTCACTTTTGTCCCCCTTTACGCTACTGCTGGACTGCATCAGATCTGGTCAAGTCATTGCTCTTCTCAACTTCTTCTGCCTACCAAGTAAAGTTCAAGCACCGAAGGCTGGCACTCCAGATTTGCCAGTCTGGCACTGCACCTACTCACTCGTACTGCTTCCCCTCACGCACAGCAGATTGCAACCAAGCCAGACTCCTTGCCCCAAAGAACTCCGTACTTTCTGGGCTCTGCATCTTGTACTTACTCACTATACCTCTTCTCCATTTACTAAATTCTTTCCAATCTTTTAAAGCACAACCTGTGCCAACTCTTCCTGATTCCGCACACCCCCATCCCACCATGCTGGTAATGACCCTTTCCAACTTCAAACTTGACATAGCACTTTGCTGGTACTACTTACATATTATTCTGCATTAGCAGAATATGTGTTACACACCTCCAACTAAACTGAACTCCAAGGGCAGGGATGTCTTAACTAAACTTGGTATATTCCCTCAAAGCCAGGCACAACACTGTACCAAGCAGGCACCTAATACATGATAATAAAACTCAGCAAAGACAACTGTTTCTTTGGAGGTGATAGCACAGCGTAGTAGATAAGAGGGGAATTGAATTTGAGTCCCAATGTTGTCATTACCTAGTTAATATGACCTTAAGCAATTCACTTCCTTTCCCTGTGTGAGCCTCAGTTCCCCAATCTGTACAAGGAAGGGGCTGAAGATGAGCTCTGAGGTCCTCTATAATTCTAACATGATTCTATGAATCAAAACAAATCAATTCTGGCCTAGTAGTTTGGGGGTCATCAATGATTCTCACATTTGAATAACGTTTTAAGTTTACAAAGCTGACTGATAGTCATGTTAATTCTTTCCTCATGCCTCCTGGAAAACTACTGCAAAACTACATTTCCCAAGCATGCTCAAGTCCTTTGACCTCTGCCCCCAACCAAACACCCAGCTGTCCTTACCTTGTAACAGGTGACCTGCTCCAACGGCCGGGGTCCCCTGTTGCCCACGTTGTTGTTTTGAGACTGCATGACCCCAATGACCTGCGGGGTTCTCTGCTGATTGGGAGAAGAGTTCTGACTCGTTAACTGGATCAAGGAGGACGACCTTTGTAATGGTGGATTGTTATTTTGCTGGAAAGAGTTACACAACACGGTTTTACTGAGGAAAACACGTGCACATGTACTTTTCAAAGGGGGGAAGGGAAGGGATAAAAAGGATGGGACTTCTCCAAGGCTGAAGCCAGCAGGGAGAAGGACTTCTGCTATCAGGCTCAGTGGAGCAAGCAAAAGAAAAAAAAACAAAAAACGGTGAAATGAGTTTCTCAACCATACATACACAGAATAAAGTCACCACAAAAAAAAAAAAAGCCAAGACAAAGGAAGTCTCCAAAACAAACTAACATCTTAAGCCATTTCTGGAGTTCTGGTTTTCAATTGTGATTAACATAGCAGATGGTTATTAAGCCATGCGATATAAGGGGGAAAACACTAGACTGGAGTGGTGAGGGTGACGGGGTGCGGAAGTTACCAATAAATTACTGTGCAACCTCAGACAGGTTATTCGTAACCACCTCTGGGGGTTCCTGGGTTGGTTGTTTTTTTTTTTTAACCTATAAAATGAAGGGTTGGACCATATGATATAAGGTCCCTTAAGCTCTGACATTTTAGGTCTATACTGACCAACAATGTTTTTGACGAGGGCTCTATATGAAAATTCCATATCTCCGAGAAGTCACTTCAGGGTAAGATGGGGCCCCAGAGGGAAAAGCCCAAAAAGGCATGGATCGCTGACAGTAAATTCTTGGGTTGGTTCTGAGCATCTTACACATGGAATTCCAGCATCAGAAAGGTCATCCAGGCCATTCACCCACTGGAATAACCATCCCTAAGCCAAGGATCTCCAATTTTTTTCCCAATGAGGG